CTTTATCCTCTCTTCACTTCAAAGGCGTCGCTGAGTTTTCCGTTATTGACCACATGACGTGTGAGACTGCCATACAGCTATTCCCTGAGGCAGTGTAATACGGCGAGTAAAATTGAGACCAGGCGTCGAATGTCAGGCAAGGAGGGAATATCCATTGATAAGGCTGTAAAGCTTAATCAACACATATGGCTAGAACTTGCAATACACATCCACAGCCATCGCCTTCCTCTACGGGGAATGTTAGTTGAAACACCATCAGCTCGGAAAAGAGCTAGTTGGTGGTCAAACCAAAACACAACAACAGCCCAAGAAATCTCCAACAGCTAGTTTGATCCACGCAGATAAGTGCCAAATGTGTCGCTGCTTGGGTCACCGCCAATCCCAGAAACAATATCCGAATACAGTTAGTGATATGTCTTGAAATCTTTCTTAATGGTGTTGACGCATTCATTCCCTGTGGTCGCCCATATCCAGTAAAACCCAATGGTTTTTCCATGTTACTATTCATTCCTCCCCCCCCCCCCATATTTCTACTTATTATCATTCCTCCCAATCGCCTTATTTGTCTCTTTTCCGTCCTTGTGTGATACATGCAGGAAGTGTGCGGCAACTCGATCTGCCCTATTTCTGTGCAGCTGTGTTTTTTCTATGTTGTGAAACCAGTCAGTTACAATAAACTCATATAAAAGTGGGAGTCAGATTTTGCCTCAGAAGAAGAAATCTCTATCACACAACAAATTTGTACTATTACTACCACTACTGTATTATTTTGCTGTTTATCTCTCCATAACATTGGTAAATTTAGCACCTTAATAATAATAATAATAATATTTACTATTTACGAAAGTGTGAAACATTCTTACGAGACAGTTTTCAAAATTCGATAGTTAACTGTGCAAATATATAAAAATCGCACATCTTGATGACACTGAACATATTTTCATTTCTGTTATGTGTGTATGCTCTTCTTCAGTCAGCGACATTTGCCTGTTGCACACACTGACTGTTTATCACATGTTAACTAGAAGAACAGTTAAATATATGGGGTTACGTTTTAAAAAGTACAGATTTTTTAAATTTGTTTAGTAAAAGGTGAACTTGGTATACGGGGGGATGCTCCACACACAAGTTTATAGTTTGTACGACGGCTAGGATGATACTGCTCAGAATCCAAGACAGAAGTAAGTGGTTGCCTTATACAGCCACCCTTCTCAAGTCTGATCCATCAGTCAGGAGCAACTGCGTCCCCATGGCTGCCGGTAACAGAAACAGCTTCTGATGATTTTTTAAATTTTTTTTTTGATTTTTGATTTACAGCTTGATTCCACACCGTATTTTCAGTACAAGTGTGGAATTTTCAGCATGGATATCGGTAGCCCAAATTCAGGCCGACCATAGATATCGGGTGTGCGCCGGCAGGGGATCGAACCCCGGACCATGTGCATGGTCGGCGAGAGTCCTAACCACTGTGCCACCGACGCACATTCGATCTACTCGGATTCTGAAATTCATGTACACGAAATGTTTGAAATCAGCGTTTCCCTACGCCCCACCCCACCCTAGGTGGACCTGTATGTCTATCGATCCGGTTGTAACCTCCAGATGATGATAGTATTCCACCATTTCACTTTTGTGAGGAACATCCCCGCAGTGAGAAGGCAGTGATGAATAGAACTTATCTGGCAAAGGTTTTGAACGTATGACCTTATGACAGAGTATTTTGAGAGGAAGAGTGAAGGCTGTCCACCCTCTATCGGACTTCATTTTTATACTTTACAGTGTCTTCTTTGGCACTATAGTATAGAACCAGAAAGTCTTAGCACAACTCTTTTAAGTAATGGATATCCTAGAAGCTATACTGACAGAAACATCAAGAAGAAATCGTCCCTAGTTAAATTACAATGCCATAGAAAAGACTGTTTATGAGTCCTACATTCACAAGGAACACTATTTCTGCTGGGATTCAAAGACCTTTATATAAATGTATCAAACTCCCTTTCTATTCAGCTGACTTATATTTAATATTTACCAGACGAAATATGATTCGACAATGCATCAAGGATAAACTATCACTTATATCCGCCTCTATACGCATATACTCATTCACATGTTCGTATGGATCTGATGATATTGGACGCTGTAAGCGTGTTCTCCATAAACGCGTAGCTGAACACTACCCGGTTTGATTTAATGAAAGGTGAGCATAGGATGACGAAGTCTAACATTTGTGAACACCTTGGGGAATCAGGTGATTCACAGTCCCAGCCATCGTACAAACTTTGAAATTTTGTGTGATGCATCTGTTTGGTGCCCATAATGTACCAAGTTCACCTTTTACTAAACAAATTTAAAAAATCTGTACTTTTTAAAACGTAACCCCATATATTTAACTGTTCTTCTAGTTAACATGTGATAAACAGTCAGTGTGTGCAACAGGCAAATGTCGCTGACTGAAGAAGAGCATACACACATAACAAAAATGAAAATATGTTCAGTGTCATCAAGATGTGCGATTTTTATATATTTGCACAGTTAACTATCGAATTTTGAAAACTGTCTCGTAAGAATGTTTCACACTTTCGTAAATAGTAAATATTATTATTATTATTATTAAGGTGCTAAATTTACCAATGTTATGGAGAGATAAACAGCAAAATAATACAGTAGTGATAGTAATAGTACAAATTTGTTGTGTGATAGAGATTTCTTCTTCTGAGGCAAAATCTGACTCCCACTTTTATATGAGTTTATTGTAACTGACTGGTTTCACAACATAGAAAAAACACAGCTGCACAGAAATAGGGCAGATCGAGTTGCCGCACACTTCCTGCATGTATCACACAAGGACGGAAAAGAGACAAATAAGGCGATTGGGAGGAATGATAATAAGTAGAAATATGGGGGGGGGGGAGGAATGAATAGTAACATGGAAAAACCATTGGGTTTTACTGGCTATGGTAGATCACAGGGAATGAATGCGTGAACGCCATTGAGAACGATTTCAAGCCATATCACCAACTGTACTCAGACATTGGTTCTGGGAATGTCGGTGACCCTACCAGCGAAACAGTTGACACTTATGTATGTGGATCAAACTACTTGTTGGAGATTTCATGGACTGTTGTTGTGTTTTGGTTTGACCACCAACTAGCTCTTTTCCAAGCTGATGGTGTTTCAACTAACATTCTCTGCAGAGGAAGGCGATGGCTGTGGATGTGTATTGCAAGTTCTAGCCATATGTGTCGACGTAGCTTTACAACGTAGTCGATGGATATTCCCTCCTTGCCTGACACTCGACGCCTGGTTTCAATTTTACTCGCCCTATTACGCTGCCTCCTTGAATAACTGTATGACAGTCTCACATTTGAAATCATGGACAAGGGGAAGCTTTACAACGCCTTTGAAGTGAAGAGAGGAGTAAAGGAAGGCTGTCTACCTGCCATCACCAGTGACATTCTTTATTGTGGATAATGTAGGATAAAGTAAGTGGGAAGCGAGAAGACAGGAATAAGTTGGGTTGATAAGGAGAATCTGGAATATGTGGATTTCGCGGTTGATCCATGGGTATTGTCATACGAACTCTAAGAATTATAGGCGAAAATCAAGGAGATCGGAGAAGCTGGAAGAGGAGATATAGCTCGAATTGAAACTAGAGAGGAAAGAGGTAGTGAAGATACCCACGACGAACAACAACAATAACAGCAACGAATCACCATCAATGGATGGAGTCTCAAAGAGGTCACTCCCTTCACTTATCTGACCAGGTTGAATCGTTGTAACTGCAGGCAGGACGGATAAAATGTCAAAATCAGTTAGCATCTTAAGAATAAGGCACACGTTCATCACTCTCAAATCAGTTTGAAAATCTTCTGCATTCCTCAGCATAAAAAACAAAATTCGGATTTTTGACACCAACGTTGAATGAGTCAATCAGTTTTTCTAATAGCGTCAGAAATTTGCACTGCAAATCCCGAAAAGCATTCCCAAAAGGCTACTGCAGGCTATTATCAACAGCTGCCTTAGCTCCATAGTGAAGATTAGATGGAAGGCCAGAAAGTATTAGTAACAAGAAACTGCGAGAACGAACCAACTGAGAAGCGACTGCTTAAAAAATATGGTCAGGAAAACGGAGATGGGATGGGTATACGCTGGGGAGACCGTCGAGTGACATTTCGCGCAGTACAGGCCATCACTTCAGTGGGAAGTGTACGGATAACGGCGACTTCGAGGTGAGTCGGAGGGTGACATGAAGGAGGTCTTTCCAAGAGGAGATGAGAACCTATGGGCAATGGTGGGGCCAGCTAAAGAGAACTTCACAGAACAGGAAAAAGTAGTGTTGTAGAAGCCCTTTGTTCCACTCAGAACCCAAGAGAACGGTTATAAATGATATATCACCTAACATGGGAGATAGAACGCAGATACCTATGATCAAAGACAGCTAGCCTTTTCATCGTGTCTTCTACTTACAACGACCATGTCTCACAGTCATAAAGGAAGAGAGAGAGAGAGAGAGAACTGATGCGCAGTACACAGATCATTTGATCAATAGCCAGGCGGATATCACCTCTACGCCAGAGATGATGTAAGTTGGCGTGTTCCACATGAACCTTTTGTATCCGTGCTGAGATTTCGTCAGAGATCATCCCGTTGGGATTGATGCAACTTCACAAATCAGTGAAGTGGTGGTCAAAACACTCAGCCACCACTTTACTCCCTATCTATCTGAAACCCCACGAATTTTGAAACTTGAAAGGCTTGGAAAGCAAAATATGAAGAGGTGGTCTAATTAGTTAAATGTTTGCCTTCACACTTGTTGCTTTAAAAGGTTATAAATATCCACGGATCTGAAAAGATACACTAGGGTGGAAATGATTATCTGATATACCGTGATTCTGAATGAAGTTTTGACTAATTAATCATAGATAAAGAGAAATGGATTTCACATACTAGATAACACATCAAAACAAATAGATTTTTAGAAGAAGAACAAAAACACTCACAGCTGAATTTCTCGATCATTCGGTCGCATAAGAGATCTACGACAATTCGATTTAAAAGCGAATCTCGCGCTTTGATTGTCATCAGTTAACAAGTTATGATTGTCAGAAGATTTTAAAACAACATCCGGTTGATTAGACTCTTCTACAGGCGGCGGGGCAGGTTTTTCACACTTATTTACACATTGAGACACGCTGAAATCAGAATCTGAGTCCATATCATCTTGAATATTGTCGAGTAAAAGTGCTTCAGGTGTACGTGTCGGAGTGCCGAGAAGTTTCATCAATTCATCAGAAACTAACAATGGCAACTGATTATTTGTCAATTTTTCATCAACATCATTCGTAGATACGATTTTTAAATGGGATAAATCTTTTCCGAATGGAAACTGACTATTCACTCCAAGTAGGCTGCCACCGTGTCGGCTTGCCACTAAGCGTTTAACTTGACGATATCGTTCATATACTGGTTTCATGATTCGTTTAGATTTTGGTGTTTTTGGTCGACCGTAAAGACCTTCAAAGTATAAAAGACCCTTTTGTATGTCGAATTTCTCTTGTTCAATCTAAAATATAAATAGGAGAATATAAATGGTGTAAACGAATGAAACAATTACATAATCTTAACTGATGGAAGTTTTAAATCATTCAAAATAGGTATTTTATTATGCAGAAAGCTGTAGCATAAAATAATGCAGTTTCCTGTCACATTTATACACACTTGATGAACACAAGTGATAATGACAGTTAGTGAAATTCTTGTCTATTATTTTACTAACTTAATGATCCCCATTGAGTCATATAAAAGGGAAGACGTGCAGCGAAAAGTTACTCTTTTCACTGAGACCATTCTCAAGCTGTACAAGATTTCATCATAAGCTGACATAGGTTAAAGAACCACTGGAAAACTATCTGGCAGTACTGGACAGCTGTTTCAGCCTAGTTTGGGACTCTTCACCAGTACACACCCATCGGGGTTCAAAAGCCCAGGGATATTTTCAAAGATTTGTCATTAGAATTATACATTTTAGATAACAAGTTGTGCAATGTAAAGAGCGTTAATCAGGTAGGAACTAAAATAAAATCAAATAAGTTGGTCGAATGACGTAATATAATTGATGGAGTTGAGTGGAATCCAACCAAAATTGGACGAGAGTCAAGTTAATAACACTGGTGATAAGGGGTGAGGGAAGGAAATCCAGTGTTAATGACTCAACAAACTTGTTTTGTATACAGAGTTCAGGATTTAACATGAGAATTGCTTCTGTGGTTTTGGAGAAGTTTGATTCGTACTCTTCTAGCACGATTTCCACACATTCTGTAGATAACTTTGAAGTTGGTTTGTCAGTTGGCTTGGTGTCCACATTCCATCAGGTGTTCGACGATTGAGCTGTGGGGGTGAGAATCTTCTCTCTCCTTTATAAAACCATGAAGATAAGTATTCGGTAATACGTTTGTATAGGAAACGCTGGGTTCGGCTGATATACCTAGCTCCACGCAAGCAATTACATTGCGTCACTCAATTTAATTATTTAATTATGGTTTAGTTTCCACACGATATTTACTTTTTATGTGACGTAATTTATCTAGAGAAATTTACAATTTTAATGACGCATTTTCGGAAATATTCCTTTTGTTGTTAAGATGGAAATTTACCATATGTATATGAGATTGTATAGCTTGAGAATGATATCACCGAAAGTAGTAACTCCTCGTTGAATATCTTTTTTATAATATTCTACTAATTACTGACTAAACTATTCATCTATCATATCAAAGAGGAGGTATGAAGTAGAACTCAATTCTGTATTCATAATGTGTACTGCTGTATGAGTTATATATATATATAAATATATATATATATATATATATATAGTATAGGTGGAATTTACATTCTATCAATGTGTTGTGTAAGGTCTTTTATTACTGTAATTGGTCTCGTCGATAAATGAACAACTTAGATAAAGAAAGAGGAAAGAAGGACCAGTTCTTTGATTGGACATTAGTTGGTAACTAGTATAATGTGTCTAGTCCTTTGTTTGATGAAGACTGACTTCTATCAGTCAAGTTTGCAATGCAGTTACCATCTTCGATGGCTTGCTATCACGGAGCATTTTGAATTGTCGATATTAGGTGACTGGAGGAAATCGGCTGGGAGTCCTTCGTAGACCTAGGTTTCATGCTAGCTGGTAATTGTCAGCAAGACGTGTTATCTGCAACTTTCGAGGAACTCATGTCCCTTCTGAGATTCGAACCCGCGTCACCCATATTGCAAACTTGACTGATAGAATTCAATCTGCCCAAAAAATGGGACTAGACACATTACACTAGTTACTGACTAGTGTCCAATCAAAAATATCCAATACAGTCCTAAAAGAGATCAATCGCCAGCTCGAATAGCTCACTGGTAACATCTCTGACTGCAGCACTGGGTGGCGCGGGTTCGAATCTCAGAAGGGACATGGGTTCCTTCAAGGTTACCAATGCGCCTTGCTCACTGATAAATGCCAACTAGAACGAAACTTAGGTCGATTACCTCCAACCATATAATACCAAAGAAGGACCAGATTTGCAGTTTAAGATTATATCGTTCTATTATTTCACAGGTTCTCCTCATCAGCTGCTGCTGCAAACTACCTGAAATTACAATGGTTATGAATAAAATGACAATAACATACTTCAATGTCTGAATGGCAGTAGAGGAAACATTATAAAAATTAACGCCTCCAAAATGTGAGCATTAAAATTATCTAGTTTAAGTTACCATCAATTTATATGCTTTAAAAGAAGAAAAGGAGCAGGAGAGTGTGAGGCGAAACTTATACCTAAAAGGAAGCAGATATTCGCAAAGTGCAATTACCAGATACCTTTCGCCAAGATTTCGAAATGCTTTACAAAATATTAAAGATACAAAGAACAGCAAATTTACTGCAATTTGCTGAAGCAATTCCAATCTAACGTCTGAAATCAAACTTGTGAATACAGAAAGTGACTGTAATCAATCTTTCGCTTCCTTGATAACTGCATTTTGATTACATTAAGTAGTCATGCATATTGGTGATTTCAGCTCACTAAGCAAGTTTTCAATCTTATGAACTATGACCTTCTGGAGTTGATATGTGAACTAATAAGCTAACGCCATTTTCTTACATTTTTCTGTTTTCTGTCCTCTCCACCCCGATCCTTCTCTATTTTGAAAGCATATAAATTGATGTTAACTGAAACTAAAAATTGTAATGCTTACATATCGAATGAGTTACTTTTGTAACCTTTTCTCTACTACCATTCAAATATTGAATAACCATTGCGATTTCAGTTAGTTTGGAGCTGATGAAATAGAATAATGATACCATTTTATACTGCATATATGGTCTATCTTTCTTTCTTTATAGAAATTTATCAAGCGAACCAAGCTATTGGACAATTTATTGACTATGAAACAAGTTAACACTATTTAACCAGTTCTGATTACGTATCACCCTCCATTCGTTTCACGACTTTATAACATTACAATATCCTAATGGAAACTCGCGTTTGTACTAAACTGTACTTCACTTTCTACATCAGTGATTTATGATGTCATTTAATTTGCTATGTTTGAATGTGCAGGGCTTCGTATGCTTTTGGAAGTGCTAGGCAAGGATGGGAAATCAATAGGCGAGGCAGTGAAGTTACATCGGTTGAGATGGTTAGGACATATGTTACACATGCATCCCTAGCCGTTGCCTTCCTCGACGGCCAATACTAGCTGACATAGGATCGATGAAGTTGGAAAAGAGCCAGTGGTGGTCAAAACAAAATATGGCTTCATCAGTTAAAAGAGTTTTCAGTGCAGCAGAAGTACGTTTTTTTTCACTACCACTCTGATTTCACATTCGAGAAATACGAAAAAACTACCTAATTTCGCCTCCTGTATGTCTATCTACCAGTGTGACTGAAGCTGCATTGGGCGTAGAGTTAGGCAGGTTCATCACCGTAATTTCGAACATCATGTTGCATGCGTAAGTAAGAGGCAAACAAGATCAATTCGTAGCTCTGTTTTAGCACACCTAAGTGTAAAGTTGATATTAATAAAGTATTTAAAGGTGTTTATCACATTCCAATTAATTTAAATTTTACAAGCCATCGGAATCCACCTGAAGAAGAAATCAAACCTGTGTGTTCAGAAGAAATTCGTACAGTCATTTTTTTACCTTGGCTATCGTCAGATGGATGAAAAAACCTGACTACTTCTCTCTTCTCCTAAGCCTTTTAAAATCATAATTGTCCACGTTATTTTATTCTTATGACTCCTTCATCTTTAATTGCCTATTACGCAAGCAAATTAAACACTCATTTGTTCCTTAACTATTCTGTTATGGATTACGCAATCCACGTGTTTCTTCACTCAATCCTTTTGCTTTCTAAATTTATCTCACCATTTTCTTCTAGTGAGGAAAACACGAAATAAGAAATGAAGCTTTGGCATATTAAATAGAAATACTGTAATAAAAATAATAATAATAATAATCTTATCTACTTAATTAACAACATACTTGATCCCAGTTCATTTCACTCAAATGCTCAGGACGACCACAACATCTTCGTTGTTCAGACAGGACAGCACATAACAGATCATAAAATGATTCAAGCGATACAAGCGGTGTCTTCAGCTGTTTCATGCCTGAATTATCAACATTATTATCATCATCACCATCGACAGTTTTCAAAAAATTTCGTGCCACTGATTTCGCCGAGGATACTGCAGAATACTTCCTCACGATAAGTGAACGAACTTTACTTGACGGTTGATTATTCGAGGTGAACGATTTCACTCGTCTAACCAGCCTTGAATGCTGTAAGGGAATACTTGATTCACACTGGGCACGATCTGATTTATTTTCAACAGGGGATAATAATGTATCCTCCTCCTTGGAGGTGTGTAGCATACAGGTGGTGGTGGTGGTGGTGGTAGTCGGTGATTTCTTTCCCTCAGTGGCCAGCTTAACATTCGACGGTATTTTCGTCAGCCTTGATATCTCATCATCCTATATTATACATAATTTATATAATAATGCAACAAGTTAGTTAGTTAGTTAGTTAATTAAGGAGAACGAGGAAAATATTTTTTTTTTAAAAAAGAAGAGCAAAAACAAATCAAAATAAGTCAAAAGCAAAAAAAGATAAGCTATGCTGAGAAATGAGGAGTTCTTTTTATGTAGGCAAAATGAACACAGCTGAGCAAACATTCTTATCTTAACAAATGAAATTATATATATATATATATATAATATTAGATAATTGTATCACATTATCAAAACAACTCGAGGTGCTCTTTCGCCTGACTATCATTATTATTATTATCATTATCTTTATTTATCAATATCCCGTAGCGATTACAATGTTAGATGAATAACATACCATAAGATATGCATACGACATACGACAGTTACTATCATCTAAAGATGTTTGTTATACACGCATAAAAATAGGCATTTAAAAAAAAAAAGATTATACATACTAGATAGAAGACGCTGTTTTTACTACTATTTACAACGATAACTAGTAGTAGTAGTAAATGGAAAGAGAAGCGAAAAAAACAATTCAGCGTGGGAGGGAATTTCTGAATGTTGTCACAAACAAACGAACAAGTGTATTTAACAACGGGGAAAATAGAATACAAGGTATTAAATTAGATCGAGTGAATCAGTTGCATATTTTTACTTTAAGCTAACATAGAACCTAGCATAGGAATAGACAGGTCGGTCGGTCGGTCGGTTTTCGACATAGAACTTTGCACATATGTGCAGCACTTCAAGTCGCCACACTCCCTCCTTGTAGCACACAAAGCAAGAGAAGAAAGTAGAAGAAATACATAATAATATAGTCAGTAAAGAGAGGTGTGAGACAAAGGAATAGTAATAACGAAGAACAATACAGTTTAATTGGAAATCATAAGTCACAAGGAGTGGATGCATCTGCGACTGCCATTGAGAACGATTTTGAGCCATGTCACCAACTGTTTCCAACCATTGGTTTTTACCAATAGACACCAACACACACACACACACATTACACTAGTTACTGACTAGTGTATCCAATCAAAAATATCCAATATAGTCAGTCTTACAGGAGGTCAATCGTCAGCTCAATGGTAACGTCTTTGACTGCAGCACTAACGGAGTGACGCGGGTTCAAATCTCAGAAGGGACATGAGTTCTTTCAAGGAGGCTGCAAATAATACGCCTTGCTGACTGGTGACTGCCAACTAGCTCAAAACCTAGGCCTCCAACTATCTAATACCAACAATTTACAGTGCACCGTGATGGCGAGCCACCTAGCATGGTGGCCACATTGCAAACTTGGCTGATAGGACTAGACATATTACACTAGTTACTGACTAGTGTCCAATCAAAAATTTTTATTTTCCTTTTTTTTATAGGACGAATTTCAATCCCCCTAAGCCATTTTTAGATTAATAATCAATCAACAATGGTACCATGTTCATTATTGAACTCCAAAATGTACATGACACAGTATCACTATCATTATTAATGTTAGTCAAGAGCATATGTAACTATATATGTAAGCGAAATGATGGAATTCAAACACACATATGCATAACGATCCCAATTAATTCAAGAATATATAAAAAAATTTTCCTTTTGTTTTGATTTTCGAAACTGAAATACGCTGCGTATGATAGTTTCCACATATATGCGAGTCCAACCATTGACCTAAACCTGTGAGAATAAGTAAATTAACTACAAACACAGTTTTTTCTTAAATATGCCTTCGAATGATATCCTTTAGTAGTCCTACATAGTAAGAAGACAGAGAGCAGAATTCAGAGTGAATAACATTATTGTTACTGTCTATTTGGATTCTGAGTGAAACGAATAGCGTCAGCAGAACATCCCCACTTTGTCCTATTTTCTGCCGTCCTCTTTAGCTGGTTCAACAGTTGCCCATAGTCTCTCAATTGCTCTTAATACGATCACCTTCATATCACCCTCGGACTGACGTCCAACTCGTGGCTTCCCTATCAACTTCCAATCGAGCAGTGGCCTGCATTGAGCGCAATGTCATTCGACGGTATCCTCAGAGTGTGTCCGATTCATCTCCATTTCATACAAAATGCTTTTTGAGCAACGGGTTCGTGGTTGGTTTGTTTCCATAGCTTCTTGTCGCTAGTTCTTTCCGGCTAGCTGACTAGCTATCTGGTCTTCAGCATGTAGCCAGAGAAGACAGCTGTTGATAAAAGTCCACAGTCGTTTGTTGGAAATGCTTGTTGTGGTGTGTAGGCCAAGTCTCTGACCTACACAGAAGAGCTGACTGATTTAACGATAGTATTGAAAATCCTAATTTTGTTCTCGATGCTTAGTGCCGAAGACTTCCAAACTGCTTTAGGAGTGGTGAGTGTATGTCTTGCCTTTACGATCCCAACTGGCTTTGATATTCTCATCTGTGTTGTCACCTTTAGTTGAAGTGATTCTGCCTGGTCAGATAAGTGAAGCGACATCTCGGATGAGGATGTCAAAACCAGTTGGGATTGTAAGAGCGAGACGGGCACTCATCACTCTGAAATCAGTTTGGGAATCTCTTGCACTGCACACAGCAAAGAGAACAAAGTTCTTCCTATATGGGTAAGAAACATGACGCCCGCGTCACAAAAGCATTTCCAACAAACAGCTGCAGACTTTTATCGACAGCTGCCACCTTTGCTAGCTCCATACTGAAGATCAGATGGCCAGCCAGTCGGCCAGGAAGTATTAGCAGCAAGAAACTGTAGGAGACAACAAACCAGCTAAGAACCTATTACTCAACAAATATGATGAAGAAAATTTTTATAGATTGGACACACCTTGAGAAGACTGTTGGATGACATCGCGCGCCAGGCGATCGCTCGAGTGGAACCCGAATGGGAAACGGCGAGTTGGGTGTGAGTCTGAAGTTGATATGCAGGAGATCGTGTGAGGAGGGGTTAGAGACTACGAGCGATTGTGGGGCCAAATAAAGAGAACCGCAGAAAAAAAGGACAAACTGGAGGTGTTTTGCTGAATCCCTATGTTCTACTTGGATTCCAAGGGAACAATAATGATAATAATCGTCGGCTTTTACCACTAAGAATACACCAGGTGAGTGAATACAGGTGAAGTGGAAACGCGTGTTAAACTATTCACCACTTATGAGTACGATGACAGTTGAATCAATGAAGAAATAAGGTGGGAATATGGATGATAAAAAAATATCACTGACTAGTCCGAAAAAAATAAGACATGAAGTGGGTTGACAGAAGACGGCATATATATATGCATTGCTAAACTGTTCACAAGTTTAGGGATATTAAGGGTGTCCTAGAATTAGGACATATTTATCCCCCCCCCCCGTATTTGAATAAACTAGCAACATTTCTCATACCGTCAACTCGTCAAAAGATATTCAGATGATCAATACAACAATGTGACCGAGACTAGGGCTTGACTAACTGGATGAACACGATATAAAAGTAGGCGAAAAGTTAGCATAAGATGAAAATAAACTGGTTTATCATAACAATAGAGAGAATGGAAAATTCTATCGGATGAATGATAATCCAAGATTAGGGTAGAAAGAGTCGCTGCTGTGCTGGTTTTCCGCATAGTGAAAAATATGATGAAAATTAGAAACAAATAAAAATCCCTAGAGACAAACTTACGGAAATTAATCTGAAGCTCACACTATTGAGTGACTACTGGCTGTAGGACGAAGTTGCCTACAGCTGTTTGTAGTGAGAAGTCGTGACCAATGGGATCCACCCCCCGATCGGAAGGGAGGACACATTGGATGGTGTCAGTCGAGCTAAAATCACGTGTTGGTAGAAGGTAGAATTCATGGGCTGGTCGTTGAATCGAGTCCCGGTGACTGAATGGTTCATCTAGTAATCGCAAGGCCCTAGGTTCAAAGCCCGGTGGGTGCGTGCTGCTGATGAGTCCCAACCACTAGGAAGAAAAAGCTGTCCAGTGCTCCCTGTTGACTTTCAATGGTTCTCTAGCTGATATCAATCCGTGGTCAAACAACTTGTTAACAGAAACCTCCAGAGAATCAATGCATTTGTAAACATCAGTCAGTTTATACTCAATAGTAGATGTGCGGTGTATGCTACTGACAACATTCTGTAAGTAGTATATTATAAGTAATATCTCCTGAGAAAATACTGAATGCTACTGCAACGACGAATTAAGTTGAGAAGAGAATAAATGAAACATCCTTGTGATAAAACAATATGGAAAGCATGAGAGGAGGACAAAAGAAGCTTAATACGAAGAACACGTGAAAATGGAGGTTTTAATGTAGGATTCCTTCTATTTGCCGGAATTGTACATCATTTCCCTTACTAAACATTTATGTCATCAGATAATATCGTGTTCTGCTGGTGAACATGTATTTAATTTTTAAAAACAGGATTGCATGTATACCACTGACTTTTTAGCGGAGTATTCAAACAAGTCAACTATACGCATTTCGGTCGGCCGTCAAACTTTTTGACCTAGCAAGTAAGAATACTTGGTTCATAATCTTACAACAATCCACTTTTGTCGTTATTCAATAGTTGGAAGTATTCGGCAGGAAGCCCTGTCAAGTCCTAGGTTTCGTGCTTGTTGGTGCAAAATATCCAAAACAGTCCTACAGTAGGTCAAAAAATTCAATTTTGTACTGACAGCTCGGTGAAATTAATTAACTAATACTACTAAGTTAACTGACACAAGTAGGTTTTGTGTGCAGCAGGCTGCAAGTTACACCAACTTTTTAAAGGCTTATAAAATATAATCACTTAACCAGAATGAAACACATTCACCATGGAGATGTTCGAACTCTAACCGACTCGCTGGAGAATAATTGTTCAAACCAGTCATCCATGCCATCATGATAATTAGTATAAATCAATAACTGGGTTCTAGTGGGTATTCTTGACTGCTGGGGTACAACAGGTCGAGTGTAAGGACAATCACTCGCCGACGATATTGGCTAGTCGTCGCCCCCTTTATCGTGAATTGGCAGAAGTTGGAATTCACAGGCCATTGAGCAGCGTCCCAGTAGCTTAATGGTCTACGCCCTCACCTTGTAACCGGAAGGACTTTCGTTCGAACCCCAGTCGGTGGTGAGCACCAAGCACTAGGATGAAACATCTATCCAGTACTCCCAGTTGCTTTTCCAGTGGTTCTCTAACCGATATCAGCTCATAGTGAAATCTTGCAACGAATCAAATCCCTGCAAACCAACGGTTGAATAAATAACCTTATGTAATACAAAACAATTTCTCTCATAGACCAACCTACCTACAGACGAGTGTTGCCGACGTTGTTTCCTGCAACAGGAGTCCATTACAACAAGAGAGAATAGTGAACTGAGAGATGGTTAGGACATGTGTCATCGCCTCCCTCGATGGGCAGTGTTAGCTGATATAGGGTCAGGCTGGAAAAGAGCTAGCGGTGGTCAAATCAAAACATGGCACCAGTCAATCAAATCTACAACAGTCAGTCTAAGCCACGTAGGAAGGTGTTGACTGGCCTCCTGGTTGGGGTCCTCGGGACGGGTAAAACCAATGGTTGGAAACAATTGGTGATATGGCTCAAAATCGTTCTCAATGGCTGGCGCAGATGCATCCACTCCTTGTGACTTATGATTTCCAATGAAACTGTTTTGTTCTTCGTTATTACTATACCTTTATCTCACACCTCTGTTTACTAACTATATTATGCATTTCTCGTACTTTCTTCTCTTGCTTTGTGTGCTACATGGAGTGTGGCAACTTGAACTGCCGCACATATGTGCAAAGTTTTATGTCGAATACAGACGGACACACACAGAACATATATGATCGAGTTTCACTAAATTAGGATGAAGTCAAAAAATCCATCAAATTTAAGCAGACTTATTATCGCCTTTAAGTGCGTCAGTGGCATAGTGGTTAAGATGCTAGCCGACCATGCACATGGTCCGCGGTTCGATCCTCGACCGACGCACTCCTTCACCTCGCTAAGTCAGAAATAATGCTGGTGGAGAGGAAAGGTTGGGTATGAGGCTAGCAACCCCATCCTGTAAAATAAACATCACTGTTACCGAAACTTCAAGCCAATAGCTTGAAGCCCCATGTTCCACTGGGGAACGTGAAGGATAAAAAAATTATCACTTATGAGTGAACGATAAAACGATAGAAAAAGGAAGTGTAAGTATTAAAGTGGCAGAAATAAGGTAACTAACTCACTCTATTCATCAATTGCTGCATTGACTTATATTTATGCCGTAGTCTAGGAGACAACAACCGGCTTTCTATGTACAAGTCTGACCGGCTATTCACTGCTGACAAACTGTGACTTTTGTTTGACAAACAGGGGATTGACTCCAACTCCATGGGAGGATCAGCTTTTTCCTTCAAGTGTTTTTTGGAATAACCACCTACAAGTGTACTGTTGATGATGAAAGCATTTTTCTGACTATTAGGATTTATTGTTTGTCTAATAGAAGCATGTGATTTAGCAGGCTGATTTCCAAGCAGGTTATCGCATATCTCATTTTCATCATTTGGACTTTGTAATGATCGATTGCCTAGTGAATTTTGTTGTTTTAGTTTTTGGTTTGTTTCTACCTCGAATAATTCAGGAAGCTGAGTAATTAAAAAAACAAAAAAAAAAAAAAAACAACGGGAAACTGTGAGTAGATTTTCAGTGAAAACTGATAGAGATAAGAAAAATTGCACTATAAAAGTTTTTTTTGCATTTTTCAATGAGTGAATGAAAAATTAAAAAGAGATATTGATTTAACTGATGTTTCTCTATTTAATGCTCCTGCTAATAGCTTTATCAAAGTATTTTTAAACCAGAATTTACAAAATCCACTCAGCTTATAGAGTCAGTAACTTAACCATCGTTCTTCAGTATGAGGTAATTTTTTACGCTGTCAAGTTGGTTAATTAGTAAAGAAGATAACAAAAGCATGTGTAGATCGATCGTTGTGTCTGATAAGTGTAGGAAATTCCAAAAACAGCATGTGTTTACATTGTGAAATTCCTTGTCGCATTTGTATTGATTTTATCACTTCATGTGGGAGAGTGTGTGGGGTAGTTTGAATTAGATCAAATTTCTTCTTAGTCAGTCATCCCTATTCAGACAATTTGGATTCCACAAGATATGAAGTGTTCCTGATATCTGATGTTCTTTGTGATTTCTGAAATTTTTTTTTGGATTATTTCAATATTGTTAAAATTAATTTTTGCTGGCCTGACTTTCTATAGCGTGTGTTTTTTTAAGCTTTTCTAGTTCAACTAGATTTTTCGATGATCGAATAGGGGCTCTACCATGTTCATTTCTTCTTCTTATCTTGATTTCTCGTGAGGTTTGTCCAATATAAATTGGCATCATATTATTATTATATTATAATTATTGTTTCCTTTAATTCCTAGAGGAACATAGGGCTTCAGCCGTGCGTCTCCATTGCGTTCGGTTCTCTGCGAGAGTCTTCACCTGGCTCCATGTCTGCTCACACGTTTTCATCTCCTCTTCACATGACCCCCTCCAAGTCACCTTAGCACTGACGACCAACTCGCCGCTTCCATTTCGGGTTCCACTCGAGCAATGGCCTGTCTTGTGATGTCACTTGATGGTTTCCTCAGAGTATGGCCAGCCAATCCATCCGATTTCTTCCTGCCTATTTGTTTGACAATCGGTTCCTGGTTGGTTCACTCCCAGAGATCTCTGTTGCTGATCTTTCCTGGCCATCTGATCTTAAGTGGTATTGAGCGAAGACAGCTGTTAATGAAGGTCTGTAGTTTGTTTGAGGTGCTCTTTATGACGCGCCAAGTCTCTGATCCGTATAGTAGCACTGACTTCACATTGAAGTTGAAAATCGAGATCTTATTTTTGATGCTGAGTGCTGTTTACCTACACACAGACTTGAGAGTAGTGAAAGCTTGTCTTGCTTTTCCGATTCTTGCTTTGATATCCTCGTCAGTTCCGTCGGCCTGTAGTTGAAAGGATGCTTCCCAGGTAGGTAAAAAGGGATTGTTTCTTTCAGGTTCCTCCCATTTATGCTGATCGTTGTCTATTGTTGTTGTTCTTGTCCAGGAATCATATTCCAAGTATTTTATTTTGAAGACATGATTGGATTGAGAATCCTTTGGGATTTAGTCTTTTACATAGACCAGGTTGCTTTGTAGTGTGTCTGGTGTTTTGAAGAAAACCAAATGTTGTTGTGTTTATTGAGTACTCTTCTGATGTTGTCTGACTTTTCTGATCTATATGGAATGACAGCTGTCGACATCCATGTCTTCGGAAGACGTTTTCGACTATGTTTAATGTTGGTGTTGATTTCCGTTATGAGGTTCTTTGGATAGTTATCTTTCTTGAGAATTTCAGTAATATTTGATAATTCTCCAATTCATCTGTTATCAAAGAATTAAGTCGTCTAAGAAGACTTGAGACAACTGATTGCTTGGCACTGATCGGGATGTGATGATCCAAAGTCTAAATATTTGTTGGAGTGGGTTTTCTTACTTTCCACTTAACTAGGCAGTCTGGGAAAAGTAGCCCATCGAAGTCTGACTTGCTCTTACTAAGTACACTGATTGTTGGAAGATCGGCCGTTCTGTTTCTTCAAGGATGGACTATGTAGTTCTCGTTTTAGTACAACGAAAATATAACTCCGTATCAAGCACTCCGCTCAGGATCTGCTTCATGATCACCCTCGGACTCACTCCCAACTCGTCGTTTCCCATTCACCTTCTAATCGAGCCTCATGGTGTGTCCAACCCATCAACAATTTCTTTGAAATATCCGTTCTTGATTGGTTCGTGCATCTCCAGATTTTCTTGTCGCTATTTCTTTCCCAACAGCTGACTGGCCATCACTCTGATCTGCAGTATGGAGCCAGCGAAGGTGACAGGTATTCATAAAAGTCTTCACGGACCTGTTGGAAATGCTCTTCATGACGCACAGTGCAAGTTTCCGACCTATATAGAAGGATAAACTGACTGACTAACTTAACAATGGTGGTGATAACCTGAATTTCGTTCCATATCCTGAGTGCATTGCAATCCAGTCTGACTTTGACATCCTCACCCGTGGTGTCACCTGTAGTTGAAACAATGCTGTTTGGTGAGATGAGCGAAGGAAGTGACGTCGCTCAAATTTCTTCCGTCGATAGTGATTGGTACTTGTTGTGGGTAGTGGTGGTGGTGGTCGCCAGGTATCTATGTCACCTCCGTCTTCTCCAGGTTCACTTGAAATCTTGTCTTTGTTGGCTGCTTTTTCCGCGGGTTTGTTAGTTTTCATCTGTAAGACTAATATGGTAGTCATTATCGAAATCACGCATTTAGCATATTATTATCCTTTCCATGAAGTATACTTTTACACTTTACCATATCAAATCTATTCCAGAGTTTAGGAACTTATATTCTGTGGTAACCAGAAAACAAAATAGCTAGAAAAAATTTATTATGATAGTATAATACACAGCTTACAGGAAGTGCTTGGCAATTCGCAGCAGATTTCTTTAAGCCTTCGATTTGTGGATCCAGAGCAGATGGAGTGTTTGACTGATGAACTGGCAATTCACGGAGGAATGAATCCGGTGGTTTGTTAGGATATTCATCAAGAAGTTTTGATTTTTTCTCGAATGTAAAAGAAGCATTTGGGTTAACCACTATCGGACTTGTCGGTGCACTTTGATTATACTTTTTTATTTGATGTACAACACTACTTCGAAGGGGCATTAAGAGTGTAGCACAGTGGAAGGAATGTCTAGAAGGTAAAGAACGTTCCTGTTGATCAGCCTTGATTATACTGCTGGAATCATAAGCACGGTTAATGCCAACAGCATCAGGAAGACGATTACGAGAGGCATGAAGTAGCTTTTCTGAATGATACAGTTTAGGTGACTTGGGCTTAGCTGACACAGGAACGGAGTTTATATGACTAGAAACCACATGAGTAGTGTTGTTTAGTGAATCAGGAAGACTACCAGAGTGGCAAGGAGAAGGTGGGATCTACGGAAAAATAGAAAAAACAGAAATAATTATATATATATATATATATATATACATATAACATCGTAACTTAAAAAGTAAAATTAGTATTATTAATTGGATGCATTGCATTCACTTTCATGTACCCACGCAATAGGTTGACACAGGGTGAGAGTATTGAAAAGTAGTGTAGTTAGGTGGAAAGAGAGAGCGGTTAATCACTGAATGTTTGTGTATCGATTCAAAGCCGCACACGCAACGCCTATAATGGAGATTTGGAAAGTAACAACAAACAAAAACGAGAAGGGAGAGAGAGAGAGAAATATATATACAAGGCAAATCATGAAGCCGTGTAACTAAATTGATATGATTATGAGCAATCGCTTTGTGTTCAAAACCTAGTCATCCAGTTATTAATACAGCATCATCACTGTGTGATATATCAAATAAACTTATCTAATGTGGAATTACATTCTACCGTAGTGCCCAAGTTCTAAACTTACATTAATATGCGTTTTCCATTCAAAGGAAACGTATGCCATATTTCATTTGAATATGCTACCTTTATAAGTAATACACCAGCTACTTTTTTTTATTACAGCTTGATTCCACACCGTATTTTTTGGTACAGGTATGGAATTTTCAGCATGCGATTTCGGTAGCCCAAGTTTTGCAGGCCGACCATAGATATCAGGTGTGCGTCGGCAGGGGATCGAACCCCGGACCATGTGGATGGTTGGCGAGAGTCCTAACCACTGTGCCACCGACGCACACTTAAGTTACAAGTGAAATTACGTAAAGTCACAACTATTGCCACATAATAGTCCTAATTCCTAACCAAATTATGTTGGTCATCAAAAACATTGTAGCTAATGTGTCAGGCAATTTAGTGAATATATCATGCACTCCATCCGATATATATATATATATATATGACCATATTGACCAGCTTCCTATTGACAGGTGTGCTCCTTGAATGGAGGATATCTCGATATTACCAAAATTATGAGCTCGAAATTACTTGCTTGGATGTGGTTTCAAGTCTAGCACAGACAAAACTACTCCAGCAATAACGACGTGCCCCAAGCCGTTATTAACCTCATTCAACAGCTAGGTGGTAATGGTAGATGTCAGGCGATTCACAACGGAAAACTCAGCGAGGTGTTTGGAGTGAGTACAGGAGTAAGATAAGTGCGCCTGCCTATTATCACCGGTGATTTTCCTGATTGTAGTGGACTGGATTACGCGGGACACAGTATGTGGGGAGCGAGAAGACAGGAATACGTTGGACTGACAAGAAGGTTCTAAAGAATCTACACTTCGCGGATGATTCATGTTTAGTCTCACACAAATTCGAAAACCTAGAGGCGAAAACCGACAAACTCGAGGAAAAAGCAGCCAGCAAACACATGACTTCAAGTGAGCCTAGAGAAGACGGAGGAGATAAAGATACCCGGCGACCACAACCACCACTACCCACAACAAGTACCAATCACTATCAAAGGAAGAAATTTGAGGAGCGTCACTTCGTTCACTTATCTGACCAGACAGCATTGTTTCAACTACAGGCGACACCAAACGTGAGGATGTCAAAGTCAGACTGGATTGAAAAGGCAAGATGGACAATCAGCACTCTGAAATCAGTTTGAGAATCTCCTGCATTGCACTCAGGATATGGAACGAAATTTGGATTATCAACACCATTGTTAAGTTAGTCAGTCAGTCAGTGAGTGAGTCAGATAGTCCTTCTACATAGGTCGGAAACTTGCACTGTGCGTCATGAAGAGCATTTCCAACAGACAGCTGCAGACTTTTATGAGTACCTGTCACCTTCACTGGCTCCATACTGCAGATCAGAGTGATGGCCAGTCAGCTGGCGAGAAGGAATTAGTGATAAGAAACTCTGCAGATGGACGAACCAATCAAGAACCTATTGCGTAACAGATTATTCGAAGAAAATGTTGATGGATCTGGCACACCCTGGGAAGATCGTTTGAGTGACATCTCGCTCAATGCAGGGCATCGTTCGTTTGGCAGGTGAATGGGAAACGACGAGTTGGGAGTGAGTCCGAGGGTGATACGGAGGAGATGTTGCGAGGAGTAGATGGAAGCTTATAGGCAACTGTGGAACCAGCTGAAAAGAACTGCAGAGAATGGGACAAAGTGAAAATGTTCCATTGGAGTCCTATATTTCACTCCAAACCCAAGGGAGCAATAATAAAAATAGGAAGAACACAGGTAGACAAGCGATAATATCTGTCACTAACTATAGATGCAAATAAATTTCTTTCTAGTCAATAGAGGCCGGGGTGGAGACCCAATCTGCCTACACAACAGGCTGAACAACTGGATAGTATCATTAGCCCTAACACAATAAGTGTGGCTTATAGCTCAGTACTCTGGGTAACTGTGAGTACAGCACACTTTCCACTTATTAATATAAAAGGCATAAAACCACAATGAAAAGTTCCCTGTCCACTGTCAACTACAGTACATTTCAATACTCAAACAGTCTAACTAGTAAACTTGCCATAATTCGCCGTATTTTAGACAACGCTCGCCATAATAAAATGGCACTGGCACAACAGTCAAGTGACGTAAAACTCTTTTTTTCCCAATTCCGTTAACATCTTACAAAATCGTTTTAAAGTGTCCATTACAAATTTTAAAATACTGATTAATAGTGAATGATATTCTTTTCGACAATCTTTTCTCCAGGTTCTACATTGTTATGTTCAAATTAGTTAAGGTCAAGATCTTAATGAATAAGTTTTTGTCAAAAAAAGAACATTAATGTGTTGCTAATAGCAATTATGTCTTAATTAATATGGACATATAACTGCAGAACCTTAAGAAAAAATTATCGAAGAGAATATCTTTTGTTCAATTATCAATCTGTGTATAACTTATAAAAATTCAACTTATTGAACCTGAAAAGCACACCCCATTAGAACACCAGATTTTAGAACTACAAGACTGAAGTTTAATATTTGAAAACCCAGAGTGCTAAGTGATACTGTTTAATTAAATATTCATTCTTCGTAACACAACAACATACAATCGAGTGAGTATTATTCATCGCATGAGGTCACCATAGAAAAATATATTCACTATACATAAAATAGGGGATCGCACATCGGTTTTCTTCAAGCAACACAAACTTGTTAACAAAGATTTTCAGTTTCTGTATTTATACGGTAATGAATTCGTTTACACTGTGGTAACAACAGAACACAGTAGGTAGTACTTGGCATAGGGATTTTTAACAGGGGAAATGATGTACAAATCTTGATCACAGTTCATATGAAATGATGTACAGTTATGGCTAAATGCATAAGCTTTAGATTGAAATCTACGTTTCCACAAGTTCTTCATGCTACGCTTCTTTTGTCCTCCTTTTATGCCGTCTATGCTGTTTCACAAACAGGTTTCATTTCATCTCTTCTCAACTAAATTCATGAATCTAGTAGTATTCAGTTTTCTTGCAGAGGACATCACACATAACATACATACAACTTACAAAATTTTGTCAGTAAGGACACACCACAATATCATTAAGCGACGACCTTCTCAACCGATCAACATAGTCTGGGAAATTTCATTTTGAGAAATTATACACACAAACTTTCTTGGTCCGTACAACTAGTAGGTGGTGACTTAGCTTCGTGATTTCTGTAAGAAAACAAAGCTTGATCACGAGTTGACATCAGTTACAGAACCATTGGGAAACACCAGCTGGCAGAGTACTGGACAGTTGTTTCGTCCTAGTTTGAGACCCCCCTCATCAGTGCGCGCCCAATGAAGTTCAGTACTCTCAGGTTTTCCAATGATTCTCTAACTGATGTCAACCTGTGATCAAACACCTATAACTAATCAAATCCCTGCAAACCAACACTTCATAAAAATGAACTATTTACTTGATATATATATTACATATTTATCGCGAAAAATATCCTTGGCTTTCTATATGAAAGGTGAAATACTTACTGCCTCCTCTGTTTTATTAAAAGTTCATAAGAAAACACTAATATAAGCAAATACCTGCTAAAATAAGCTATACTCCTGATGTGGCGAGTGCTACTGATAAGATTTATCAGTAGGATATAAACAGACGTTCATCGGCATAAAAAAACAGCAAATAGTAGGGAGATACATTTGATTTCAGAGAAGGCAAATGATGTAGATTTGTGGACATACATGGGAGACGTAAAAGGAACACAAAGAAACACAACATGAAGTCCAGAGGTACCACAACACGAAGATCTATGCGAATGGTGCGCTGAAGACCGAAAGCTGCTACCTTGACGTGGTGGTCGGGCTTGCATATCGCAATGACCCAACGAGATACACTGGCTGGAACTTAAGTTCCTGTAGGTCCTACCATGCCAGAAAGGTTGTTTGGATAGCGGTTAGACAAAAAGCAGCCACCCAATCCAATGCCATGACTCAAACAAAATCACAAAATATCATGCCGGATCGGTCGGGGCCCGGATTAACAACGACCGCGCTTCCTGCTGCCGTGTCACAGGGCAGAAGTGATAAATATGCTACTGAGACACACCAAATAAAAAAGAACAAACAAAAACAGGCCACGTGTGACCGGCCTCAAGCAGTTGTCCCCTGGGCTCTGCGGTCACGCAACCAACTTCCACGGTGTGGGCAGCCGGGAAGTAACAATCGCCCTCACAATCCGAAGTGCACGCGAAACCTCTCTAATCCTCACTCATCTTTGTATCTATCTTCATCTCTATTATCTTGCCTTCCTTCTACTAATGCAACTCCTCTACTTGATGGCTCTTCAACTCCTCTTCACTCTGCGTGCACTGATAACGATGGAAGCCGAAAAGCCACCATCGATAGTCTCCTAAAGCCACGCCACCAATTTCATAATGAAGATGGGGTTTAAATAATTTGGCTATATAGAGATACCAATTCCCAAATAAACATTCCTGTACCAAGTCTTTCGTGTTGTACCGTTTAACTGAGATATAATATCCACTAGCGGGAATTATAAACTTTGCGTCTTAATTTTTATAAGTGAAAATCAGTAAAACACATTGCCTAAACAACAGTTTCTACTCTAGAAGTGGCATTCAATCCCACAATCTCAATTAGAAACAAACTTCGTCGGTTAAAGGATGCTTTGGAGCCGTTAAAACACAACAATTTAGTTTATCTAATACCCTGCCTGCATTGATTGTCAGGTCAAATACATAGGTCAAACTAGTAGAACAGGGGCAGTGAGTCAGACTAGCCGAACATAAAAACCTAGCAGCGAAATATAGATTGGTTGACCCGAATAAGATAAGAAATGTAGAGAATAGTTCAGCTATAGCACTCACTACATGCAATTACACACAACCATACAATAGGATGGGTGGGATAGGATGACAGTTTTAAAATCTAATGTAAGAGGGTGGAGGGAGAGATTGATAACAGAGGCTTTGTTCATCGAATTAGCTACAAATACGTGAAATAGGAATGATTCAACGTCTCAGATATCTGCAAAATTCTACTACCCCACCGACGACAAATAGGAGAGGACAAAGAAAACTATCAAACTCAAGTTTCCAAGTCGTGTGTTTATAATTGATATGATTATGAACAGTAATAAATTTTGTTCGAAACCTCGTCATCCAGTAAATAATACTGTTTCACTGTGTGATCCATCTAATAAACAAACTAATATGGAATTACTAACTACCACAGTGCTCAAGTTTTACACACATTAATAAAGCAAAATCTTTGGAAATAAAACTGGTGAGTCTCCCGGTTTAAAACTTTATATCGTAAATGTTAAGTAGAAGCATTAGGTTGAATAAAGCTAAAGTCTAGCATGATGATAAGACTATTTTACAATGAAGTAGTGGAGATTTGCAAATCAACGAGGATGTTTTTGTTATTGTGTTCCCTGAGCTTCTATCACCTCTCTAAACAACATATTCAGCGCTAACTTTAAAATGAAATATGCTCTTGGAAATAATTTCCTATGAATGAAATAACTGTGTTCCCAGATGACTGTATGGATGATTATTTGTCTCCTGAGATTTTCATATCGTTTCATTTCCCTATATTGGTATTGATCGTCTCGTTGACCTGATATTTAACTCTTTGACCGGGTAACTTCCTCTTTATTGATTTTTGAATAAATTTCATCCACATCAGTATATCTGTTAATTATACTAAACATCCCATATTAGATAAGTTTATTTTAAATACCATATAGTGATGCAGTATTAACAACTGGATGAAAAGGTTTTGAGCATAAATAACTGCTCATCATCATCATATCAATTTAGTTTGCTTTATATATGCATTTTTTTCTCTTTTCCCCTTGTTGTTTGTTGTCACTTTCCATAATCCCAGTATAGGCGCTGTGTGTGCGGTGTTGAATCGATAGAAAAGCATTCAATGATTAACCTTTATCTTTCTCTCCACCTAACTACATTACTTTTTAATACTCTCACCCTGTTCCACCCTATTGTGTGGGTACATGCAAGCGAATGCAGTGCAATGCTATGGCAGAGAGTTTTTTCTAGGTTATTTAACTTAACGCGGTCAATCATTCTAGCTCTAACTAAATTCCTGTTCCAGTAATCTAGTTGACCCCAGTCTACTAGTTTCGACTATGTAGTCGACCTCATTTACAGTCACTACATGGTATTTGGTAAATTATATTATTTTTCTTTATTGGATCTATTGGGTCCTTAAGAGTTGGTTGGTTGGCTTAAATGTCAGCCTAATTCCATCCTCATTGAGAATCCTACGTAAGGCCTCTGATATTTCTTCTTCATAAAGCAGTACCACAGGGGCTAGTGCGTCGGTGGCACAGCGGTAGGATCCTCTCCGACGACTCGTGTGGTTCGGGGTTCGATCCCCGACCACAGACGCACTCCTTTACCTCGCTAAGCCAGTAATAAGACTGGTAAATAGGGGAGGTTGGGTATGAAACTAGCAACACCATCCCATAAAAATAAACACCACTGCTACCGAAACTTCAAAGCTCTAGCTTGAAGCCCTATGTTCCACTTGGAACGTAAAGGGATATATAAAAACCACAGGGGCTTTGAATTCTACATTGTTTTGTGTCATTTTTGGTGCTAATTTTGGTTTTTCTATGGTTCCTTGTACGTTTTTAAATAAATTCTCGTGGGTAGTTATTCACCAGTAGTACTTCCCTTGTTAGTTTGATTTCACTATTGAAATCTTCTGACTTAGTAGTTAGATTCCTGGCCCAATTATACAGACATTTAACCAAACCTATCTTGCCCGATTCTGGATGGGATGAATTAAAGTCTAAGTATTTACTAGAGTGTGTGTCGGTCTCCTTTAAATGATACTATCTAACCTATCGCCTTTTCTTCGTTTTTTTCTACAGCCTGGCATGGCCAACTCACCCTATTCATTTCCTAACTCAGAAGTGAATCAGATTCCGTCTACTATTGAGTCCACATATGTTTGTGTGGAACTGAAAGATATGTTCAGATTTCAACACAGTGAATGTGTTATCCACGTATCTCCACCATAACCTACCTAGGAGCAGGAATACACGTCCTAAGGGGTTTATCTTCCCAACTAACTGTCCATAAATATATGTGCTACTATAATGGCGATATTGGTTATCCCACTGTCACCCTATTTGTTTGTTTGTATATTTTATTTTGAAATTTGAATACAGTGGAGGTTAGACATAACTGATCACCCAACGCTATATCATCAATCAAGAGCTTAGTTCTCTTTTTGAGTTCAAGACCAACGTTTCCTCCGTTTTAGCACACACGATACAACCATTGAAGTAATTATTATTATTATTACTAGGTGTAATAAAAAATGAGGTACTATTCATCAAGGCAATAACTTATTATCTGTACATAAAATCAAATTTTATTAACCTACTTTTACAATAGATCATCCATATACTAACCTGTTGTTTGAAGGAAAACATGTGAGTGTCCAAACACTGATTTATAGCTTGAGTCAAACTACACTCTGAAATACGTGGAGATATCTGAGTTCTAGGAGACGACTCATTCAAATTATTGGCATCTGGCAGATCACAGTAACGACCTGACTCCACAGTAGGCATATGGGATAGATGTGAAAGATCTGTCATCTCTTCTGTGCCCAAATCAGCATCCTGCTTATTTTCCATCTGGAAAGAACTTGGTGAAAATTCACATGTATTTGTGGCAGAATTTGTTGCGACCGACCTTGGCATTTGGCAGGGAATATCAAATTTCTCATAGGTTTCATCGTTTACTGGTAAAATGATATCTGTACACTGGACTAAGGTTTCTGTTGTATTCTTTTCTATAGAAGGCATAGAATTCCAAGTGGTGATTAGATTTAGATCAGATTGTTTAGTGGAATACTTCCTCTGGCTAGAAATCCTTCTTAATTTGGTAGAATTACTGGCATTATAAGAGTCAACCAATTCGTTAGGTGTGTTTTGTGATTGTGAGGATAAACCTGAAATAGGCAATCTTTCGTCTGATTCTTGTGAAATATAGTCAGATTTACTGTTACAATTCGACACCTGAGCTGAAGAATTATAATAATTGTCCGATTGTGATTGAGACTGGGAACACCACGCTTCTACAGAAGTTCCTGCTGCGAAAGATGTAATAATATCCGTAATATCTAAGGCCAGTTGTTCAGGAGTCCTGCAGGAAAAGATTTTATAGAAATCACAAGGGTTAGGAACTAAGCAGAACTGAGTAATAAAGTATTCACTAGAATTCTAGTTAGTTTAACTATTATTTCAAATGTCAAAGTATTAATCAAGAAGAATTGCAAGAAATATCAACTTACTTTTTATAAAGTTCTTCTGCATCTGCATCTGAATCTGAAATCCCTCCAGTATTCACCGTTTCATCATGCGAAACAGAGTTGCTTCGACTCGTATAAGTTGGAGTATTAGAAATATCAAAAGTGACTGGGCTAGTTGTAGATGAAGTTGATGGAGTTACAGCAACTTCTTTGTCTTGATTTAGTCGTGTGGAATAACAATCTGGAGAATTTGTAAGAGAAAATCCTTTATCCTGAAGTGAAATATCATGCAGCGAACCCGGTCTGGCAGGATTAACATTTGTCCGTGAAATCTTCGGTTTACACGGAGAATAGTCAGGCAACACCTCCACTTGGTGATGCATCTCCAGATTGTGAGGATTGGCTGAATTTTGAGAAATCAACGGCATTGTTTTTGACAGACTTAATACCTCGTTTTCATTGGGACTTTCAACAGCTGTTGCGCTAGAAATGCGACCTACACCCGATAAGGTATCACACGATGACTGGACTCGATCTTCGAAATTGGGTAAAGCTGAGTTGGAGACAATTTCGGGTAGTTTAAATAAGCGATCCAATACAAGGAAATCATTTTTATGATGGTGGACAAATATGGCATCCGCATGTTGGATGAGTGAAGTCATTACACAATTTGTCAAGCCCTGATTTTTCAGAACCTTAACAAATTAAGTCAGAACAAAAGGTGAGAGTGATATTTTTAAACAAACATAAACAATAAACGTAATGAGTGCATTTGTTTTTCACATAAGTCCATTTATTTAAAATTTTATGCTACACTTCAAACTGCAAGTCTTCTGAGATTACCATGCAATTGATGCATCCTATCGTATCAAGCATGAAGCGGCTGAGTTGCACCTGTGTTATAAGCATAAATATCAGCAAGAGCAACCATGTAACAAAACTCAAATTATATCACAGAAGTGTTGTTGCCTTTACTCCTTGTATTTTTATATAGGACATATAGGACCTAACATATTTCCCTCTTTCAATAGCTATCACTACAGTTTTAATGGTACTCAGTATAGTTTAAAAGTATATCAATGGTCTGGTCTCTCTTCCGCTCATACCATTGCAAGATGTACTACTGTCGATAGGTGAATGACTACGTATAGCTCTCTCTAATGAATTATTAAGTAAATCCAACTTCTTTACACTACCGCACAAAAACCCAGTGATTAATTTTTTTTTAAAAAGAGACAATACAAAAGTAGCATCATTTCGGGACTAATATGTCAAAAAGATATTCAGAACAAGATCTTACCTGTACATCTAAGCTGCATCGAAATACACAGGGTCCAAAGATTATTCCTAAACTGTTATATGACATTTTGTTGACCGGTTCATTTTCAGCTATCTTGTTCAAAAACCGACACAAATATTTTAACAGCTCATAGTTTTCATGCCCCAATGTACATAATACACTTTGTAGTTTAAAAATGTACATGTTTTCATCAGTTGCGTATTCTTTGGCAATCTTAAAGCATATAAAATAATAATAATAAATAAGTGAATTATATCACTGAGAGACTTCGACATCTGACATATATTTATTTCTCTCAAATCGAAAGCTTAAATGAGAGTCTAGTTAAGATTTTATTGGTTTCTTAGAAAAAAAAAGTAACGGGATTTGGACTTGAGCATGCTACACTACAAACTTCAGAGCTTATTTATCATTTAGTTTGTGTTACAGCGTCGATCTAAAGCTGTCAAAGAGAGTCCTTTAGTCCGAAGATTGAGCTTAAAAGATATAAAAGAAAACATACATAAAGCCTTTCGGATTACAATAACACAGAATACAAAGAATTATATTTCCAGACATTGAAGGAGTTAGCCATAAACACACAACCTGTGTACTATTTTAGAACATAAAGATTAGTTTTTTCTTCATACCTCCATTTCTCGACGAGCACAAAAAACAACTGAAACCAAGCCGAAAGATAAGCATAAAGGAATACAAAAGTAATCTACAGAGGAAAACTCCACAAATGAGCATTTCATACCCACTAAATCGGTTTTTTACAATACGCTTAGGTTTGCCCTTAAAATTCTATCAGAAATAATTCGTTTCTGTCCTTACTATGTGCTTTTAGGATAACCTGATTAAGAAGGATATGACATATGGTTACAGAAGAAAGAATTCAAACTTGGTTCACTTCACAGACTGACTGACTGACTGGTTTCAACATAGAACTTTGTACCCATGTGCAGCAGTTCAAGTTGCCACACTCCATGTAGCACGTAGAGCAAGAGAAGAAAGTAAAACGGAATGCAAAATAGAGACAATAAACAGAGGTATGAGACAAAAAGAATAGTTTCATTGGGTATTATAAGTCACAAGGAGTGGAGTCACTTCATAGAATTCTAAGTGGGTTTGGAATTAGTAGGAATAACAAAAAAGATAAAGTACCTTACTTGATCGTTTTTGTAGTAAACGGTTTTATTTTATTATTAGGTTGTTTATTTCCATAGTTACGTTTGTAGATATGTGGCTATTTAAATCAATCAGCCATACAGATTAAACTGTAGTGATTTGAGCAAGCAGTAAAATACCATGATAATTTGGAGTCAAAGGCTAATTTTGTGAAGCGCCTCAACCATTGATAAAAAGACGGCACTAGACAAATGAATACAGGCCTATTAGGAATCACCACCACTTTTACAGCCTGAATGTGTCCTAATGACATAATTTGATAAACTAATCAATAAGATCAAACTTTAGAAAGAGACATCGTATTTAGTAACACCCAACAGCGACCATCTGGTTATGCAACTCAGTATTGTGTTCACGAAGCTGTCTGATACTGATACACAGCTCATAGGCAACATCAGTTTTACAGTTGTTAACACTATTTTCGACAAAGATCGGCAAAGGCAAAAGCCTTCTGATCATCAAAACTATTTTGCACATGAAGTGACGGTTGATCTCTTTTCCTTTACAACTAGAGTAGGCATTAATAACAGATTAGAAGTCATTTACTCAAATCATGTGCTGTTTTGGGTTTACCGATTAGTTATATCGATAGTGGTGGTTGCAGTCCTCTGACATAACTTTAGAGTTGATGCAAACCAAACTGTTGTACTTCTGAGTAGAACATGAGAAACTTTCAAGAGTGACAAATATGCCATAAAACCACTGGATTTCTATTCGGGAAGAATAAGGCTCAGGGATTGAAGAGTTCGACTGTTATACACAAAAACAGATATAGGAACATGTAACAATCATCAGCTGAAGCAAACTCAAGCTAACACATAATCCAAACCACTTTGAAAAACATTTTGTTTTGTAACAGTTTCACTAACACTAACGCTAAACCAGGTCGGTCGGTCGGTCGGTTTTCGACATAGAACTTTGCACATTTGTGCGGCAGTTCAAGTCGCCACAATCTATGTAGCACGCAAAGCAAGAGAAGGAAGTAGAAGAAATGCATAATATAGACAGTAAACAGAGGTGTGAGACAAAGGAATAGTAATAACGGAGAACAAAACAGTTTAATTGGAAATCATAAGTCACAAGGAGTGGATGCATCTGCGCCACTGAGAACGATTTTGAGCCATGTCACCAATTGTTTCCAACCATTGGTTTTTACCATCCCGAGGGCCCCAACCAGGAAGTCTACATCTTCCTACGCTAAACCAGCAACAAAAACCAGAAATAATGGTTTGCGAATTTCAAGACCAGCATTACATGAAATAGTTTTAGACCTTAAACAGTTTAGAAAAAATAAATGGTGAGTTAATATATATGTCAAAAGGTGACAGCAAACTACACGAGCAGTGTACTACCCTTGCAAAAACTCATTTTCAGATTTCTGTCCACAAGAACATTCAAACAGTGTAAAACATAGTATCAAAGCTTATTACTAATAATAACTATTTCTGATACCTAATACACTAAACTTAAGGTCACGTTTCGATGGATGCGAATGAAACAATACACATAAACAATCGTAGGAATTATAACCGGAACCTAAAGAAGCGATTTTATTTTCATTTACGAAACACATATTTCGTACATATTTCCTGTCTTAACCGTATTACGTTTTAGAAATAAAGCAAGTTCCCGATGGATATACAACCAAATTACTCAGGGTGAGCCCTGGCAAATAAAATTGGCTAGTTGATTCATCAGCTTAATATCCCACCTCATTTAGAGTCACATAGCGTGCTGTTTATAAATCAACGGTCTTTAACTGAAAACGTACAGAAACTAGTTTGAATGCTACTAATGGCTGTTTATTCTGTGGTGAAATCTCAAGAAATAAGTTTCCAAATATGCTGATAAATCAGAGTCCGTAAATGTTGCTGAAAATGCAAACCTCACATTTGTAAACAATGTTTTCCCAACTGTATTGAGACTTATTTCATTACTGCAAAGCGGAACTGTCTAAACGACATGCTTTACATTAGCCATATGTTAGTCCAAAGTTTGATAAGCTGGTGGATTTTCCTATCAATTAGCGACTGCTCAATGTAGTTAACTACAAGTCCAGATTACGCACCGAAAAGCCAAAGTACTATCCGCCAACTTTATTGAAAGCAGTTCAACATAAACAAACTAACTACTGAGTATAAACAACTTTCTTACCTTTATACACTTAACTCCATGTTTTTCTGACACAAGTCCATCAGGAAGTTCCCGAAGGAACAGCTTTAAAACTCCTGCTAATGCGTATATGTCAACATTTCCTATTGAATACAAATCGTCGGCTGCCGATATCTGAAAAGTACTCTTAAGTGCTTCGATTAATTTTGCACTTCCATTGATGCGAAAAATTCCTTGGGCATTTAGCCCATTAGTCAGAAGGTATTCACAAATATTTTTGACGATACGAGGGACAGGTTTTATACAGTCTCTCTCAAGTAAAACTTTGAGAGGTACACCAAAGTTGTCGGCTGTTTGCACAAATGTTTTTCTTTTTGATCTTGGACTAGTATTTATTTTGCGTACAAGTCGATCCATTGCTTTGAAAGTGCAAAATATGCATGAATATTTGATAACAATTAAATGATATGCACGAAACTTATATTAAACTTAAGTCACCATATTCCAGATAGCCTCTCATAGAACAATGCCAAACAGACAACCTTGTGAATTGCATCTGATTAACGCGCTTTGGATGAGAGTACATCGGATTTACATATATAAACACATTTCAAGGACCATACTTCATTCAGTTACACACAAAGACTCTTTTATTTTTCACTGGCTCTTGAAAAATGATGACTAATTTCAGAGAATTTTTGGTTTTCATACATTCATTATATATGCTAGTACTCTTCAGCCAAGGTAATGAGGGATCTTAAAACTGTCCATTTAGATAACTCTTCGAAACAGTTCCAGAGTCAATAATTAATTAAGACGGAGGAAGGGTATGTAAATGGATGATCTACAGTTGCTTTTGTCCTCACGGTCCTTGTGAGACTCAATAAGAGTTGCGTGGTACTTTTGGAAGTCATAACGTTTTCAGCATCCAGCTTGCTGCACCACGGAATCGTAAACTTGAGAAACAAGAGACTTTCTTCCAGGTGCTTTATCGCTCTGATGAACTTATATCTCCCATCGAACAATTAAGGACTTGTAAGCCGAAACAGAATAACATCTAGGTTGTCGAGAATATAAAGCATATTTCAGAATCGGTGAAGTTTGTCAGTGATGAGTGCCTAAACAACTCAGGATCGTACACAAATGAGCAAATGGAGCATTACAGCATGCCAAATGCCTCAAGTGCCTGATATCTCACCTGCAACTTAACTAACCGATTCAAATTTCGGCTGGTTTTTAAGCGCATAACATAACCATAACAAAGTACTAGCACTGGTTTTGCATCATTCATGTTGCATGCCTCAAGTGAAGATTCTACGGACGAGGGTTCGGTGGTCAGCCTCTTCCTCTTCTTAACTGTATAACTCCCTCGAACCATAGTCCCGTCCCGCTTATTGCGAGATTGTGCATGAAGTGAGATATATGAGTTGATTCAAAGGGCTGAACGCAGTTAGCAGCCAGAAGTTTCCTCTCTGGCTTTAGAAGCTACCCTGCGATTGTAGTAATACTGAAACTCTGGGAACTGGACCTAAGTCTGAGGTTCCATGAGAAACGTGACATGACAGTAGTGTACATACTAACGCTGAATTCCGAAATCGCTGAAATTATCCCGCATGTTCAGAGTCATTGCATGGATAAGACACTCGAAAGTCCTCTTCGTTCATGTTAGTCGGCGACGTTGGAGTGCTGTTTGTTAAGCGTTTGTTCACACACTGGAATTATTTGCAGCCTATCTTGATGCAGATTATTAAAAATGTTGCGTATTACATCCCTTTGATTTCCATTGACTTTAAAACTATTTATTCTGTTCGTTTCGAAAGTCTTTACCACCAGATCAGTTCATTCTTTTCATTGTAGCTGTTTCATACGTTGCACTCATGCGTCGCTTCAGCGTTTGGGCTAAATGCCCAAGGAATTTTTCGCATCAATGGAAGTGCAAAATTAATCGAAGCACTTAAGAGTACTTTTCAGATATCGGCAGCCGACGATTTGTACTCAATAGGAAATGTTGACATATACGCATTAGCAGGAGTTTTAAAGCTGTTCCTTCGGGAACTTCCTGATGGACTTGTGTCAGAAAAACATGGAGTTAAGTGTATAAAGGTAAGAAAGTTGTTTATACTCAGTAGTTAGTTTGTTTATGTTGAACTGCTTTCAATAAAGTTGGCGGATAGTACTTTGGCTTTTCGGTGCGTAATCTGGACTTGTAGTTAACTACATTGAGCAGTCGCTAATTGATAGGAAAATCCACCAGCTTATCAAACTTTGGACTAACATATGGCTAATGTAAAGCATGTCGTTTAGACAGTTCCGCTTTGCAGTAATGAAATAAGTCTCAATACAGTTGGGAAAACATTGTTTACAAATGTGAGGTTTGCATTTTCAGCAACATTTACGGACTCTGATTTATCAGCATATTTGGAAACTTATTTCTTGAGATTTCACCACAGAATAAACAGCCATTAGTAGCATTCAAACTAGTTTCTGTACGTTTTCAGTTAAAGACCGTTGATTTATAAACAGCACGCTATGTGACTCTAAATGAGGTGGGATATTAAGCTGATGAATCAACTAGCCAATTTTATTTGCCAGGGCTCACCCTGAGTAATTTGGTTGTTTGTCCATCGCACTGTTAATTCAAATTAGATTGAAGACTGGTCGAATATATGACAGAAATAATGGAAAAGTGCAAATAACTGGTTGATATAAGTTTAAAACTTATCCATTGTTTATCACCATTATTGAGATTTTCTTTTGACAAATCACAGTGTTGTAGAGCGACTTTATTGCATATGCCCTCAATGACGTTTGTCTCTATGTTGCTATTGGTTTCAAGTGGCCTTGGTCTTGGGGGAAGATTTAACTGATGTAATATTGTGATTTCATAGACATAACTCAGGCTCATACGTGAAAGAAAGTTATTAACCTGTAATAAGGAAAAGTTGTTCAGAAGGTAAGGAGGACGTTATTTTCCAGTTTATTTGTGTATATACTACTGTGCACCGAGTTGCATTGAGTTCTTAGTGCAACTGCATGTAACTGCATTTACATAAATTGAAACATTGCGAATGCTCCTGTTTCTAGAATAAAAAACGTGATTCTTTTTATTAAGTTTAGTAATGAAGAATGGGATTTCTTCCACCTAAGTGTTATTTAATTGAAGTTGTAATCTGTCTAGGCCCTTGGAGGAGTAAATTCGGCATTCAGAACTCCTATGTAAACCGAAAGTGCTTTTAGTTTATAAATAAGTAAATAAATTTATTCTCATAGTACAGTACATGAGGGACGCCAGTTTACAGGCATCATCAAATTTTTACAGAAATAGAACCATATAATTCAATCAAAATTTACAGGCAGTAGCAAGATATGCTTTACATGTTCGCTGGAGATTACACATACACATGATAAATGTTAATCCCAGTAGTATAAAACAGCCTTTTCACTTATATACAATCATTTCTGTGCAAAGTTGGAAAAATCTGCTAGATTGTCAGTGAGTGCAACACAACAGGAATTACAGAAGTATTGTCTTCGCATTAACAAAAAAACCAGGTCTTTGGTGGATGGATTATAAGTGCCTGGGAAAAAATAAAGCTTGAAGTCAATATTCATACATAACTTTGTTGTGTGCAGAGTCCTTGAATTATAGTTCATTGATGTGTTATTTTGAAATCAGTGATGTGTTTATCTCATTTGATCTGCAATGTCATTGTTGGGAGTAAGTACATAAGCTCCGGACGCATTAATTAATGGATTTCTACTGCTTGTGGGTATTTTCTTAGCGTGAGGAAGGTTTATGAGTTTCAGCTGTTCCGACAGGAGTTGAGAATACTAACTGCTCAGCAACATTATTGATATAAGTTCATCACATTATCTAAGGAAAGGTGGGTTGCAGTTGGTGAGGGATATATGGTGCCCAACGAGCATTCATCTGTCCATGTGATCTTGAGGTGAGTTATACCTTTTTCATGTTGTCGGTTTATGTCCATTTTATTCCACTTATTGTGTTGGGTAGTAGTTTTACAAACGAGATTTCTTGTCTGTTTGAGGATACTTATCTTAACCGTTTATGTTTTATCTAGAATTATAAATATAGGCAAAAAACAACAGGTGTAGTATTTAAGCTTATACATTAAATGGACCTATAATTTCGGAGGCTCTCAGATAGGAACTAGAACTACTATCGTTTGCAAACTCTTGTAGTTTGTCATTAAGCACCTTTTTGAAGGAGGCCAATGTACTTGCTTGACGCATTTCCATTGGCAGTTTATTCCATATCTGTGCACACCTAATCAAGTAAAACTTTTGCCTGGTGGCTGTTTTACATTGTTCGATAGCTACTGTACCCTTAGTGTGTCTTAGTTTGTAGCCATTGTCATCTGAAAGTCGAGTGCCATTAGTAGAGGTAAAAACTAAGTGGTTTAGAAGCTTATAGTAAAGTGTCAAGTTTAGTCTCAGGTGTCTTAGCCATAGTGTTTCCAGTCCTAGGCTATCACATCTAGTGGAGTAGTTCGTACCATTTCCGGTTCCGAGTAATTTTAACGTGAAGTACCTCTGCACTTCCTCGACTTTCAATTTGTCCTCTATGTGTATGCTACTATACATGAATGAACAGTAATCAAATAAAGGACGCACACAAACCTCGTACAACAGAATTCTAGACTCATTTCTGTAGAAGTTCCTGAGTAGAAAGCCGATAAGTCTGCGTGACTTTGACACTTGTTTGGAGATATGTTCAGAAAATGATAAGTTATGTGAATATTTCAGCCCTAGGTCCAGTACAGATTCCAGTCGTTGAAGTGCATGGCCTTGAATTGTCAGGTCAAGTTCTAAATTGTTGCAACCTATGCGGAGCCAGCCACATTTTTCGACACTAAATTGGAGTTGCCAGGTGTCACACCATCTGTCCATTTTTTCTAATTCTTGCTGTATGGCGTTTACTGTTATTCCAAGATCTGTGTTCTTGCATTTATACGTCACTTTTAAGTCAGCTGCATATAGCATTGGTTTACCTACACTAAAGCATTCACAGATACCGTTTATATATATTGTGAATAAGAGTGGGCCTAATACACTCCCCTGGATTACACCACTACTTACTGGTTTAGGCCTTGAGATTATCGAGCCAACTTTCGTTGTCTGACTTCGGCCACAGAGAAATGATTTTATCCAGCTCAGGAGAGGATCACATATCCCTAGTGAGCATAACCTGCTGACTAGCAGATTATGGGGAACTCCGTCGAAGGCTTTTGTTATATCGAAATATAGTACAACCACTAGTTCTCTGTTGTCCCTACTTCGTGTAACTTCATTGAAAAAGTCTATTTGACAGGTCACACATGATCTTTTTTTAAGAAATCCGTGTTGTGATGGATTGATAAGTTCATGTTCTAGTAAGTTGTCTGACACTTGGTCTTTAACCACTGTCTCCATTATTCGGGATATTACCGGTGTTATATTGATAGGTCGATAGTTGCATACACTGGTTTTGGCCCCTACTTTGTGCTTAGGTAATATGTATGTGGTTTTCCACACTTCAGGATAAGTTCCAGTTTCCAACGAGAGAGTAAATATTCTAAGT